TCAATGGCAGAAAAATGGCCGCGGACCACGTGGCACGGCGGAAAATGGCCACGTATCCAGTTCGTACCCCGAGGTGGAGTTCGCAAACTGAGATAAATTTTTGCGGCCGGAGCTGGTTGCAACCCAAAAAGTTCGTAAGCAGAGGCGTTCATAACCCGAGGTACCACTGTATTAGAAACTAGTCCATGGAATTTTACAGACTAAATTTTACAGGAGATCCAAGGATCTCTTCCTGCCTCTTTCTTTTTTCTTCCATTAAACATTCACATGAAATACAAGTTGTAGGCTACTGTTTAATCAAAATTGTCCATCTAGAAGCATTCTAGGGCTGTTGTAAAGAATGCACTCTCATTTAGAATAAAACGCAGAGAACAAATTAGGACTTATTTGAGGGTATATTTCAATAGGATCTGGATAAAAAAGAGTTGAGGAAACCTGTAGGGTGAAGGAGGAGTGGTGAGGCAAAAAGCCTTCACTTTTCAGAGGGTTCTGTGGAACAGGATAGAGAGATAAAAATGGAAAGGGAGGGAAGAGGGTGAATAAGCATGATAAAAAAACAGCCTGCTGGAAACTGTTCTCCCAGATCTGAAAAGCAATGGTTTTTCTGAAGCATCTTGGAAAGCAGTGAAAATATAGTTAGCTGCATCCTTGGATGGGCACTGGAGCAGTAGAATGAAAGAAAGCCCACACTACACTGCTCCTTGGCAGAAAGCCCCATGGTGCTTTTTGCCTAAAGCTGCATGCAGAAGGAAAACAGCCTTGTGTGCTTCAACAGACATATTTTGATAAGGTTTACAGGTATTTGAAAGAGAATCCCAGGGAGGTAAGGCTAGTCTAGGAAGGCAGGGAACAGCATCCTGGAAGAAGGCAGTGGTAAACCACCTCCATATTGTTGCTAAGAAAACTACTTGGACATATCCATGAAGTCACCAGTGGTAGAGATCCTTAACTCAAAGGAGACTTTACTACTTCATTATTGGAAAGCTCTGGTTTAAACTAATAACAGAGAATGATGTTTCCTCTGGTGATGTTGGACAGACTGGGGATTTCTTTCCTTCACCTCAGAAGATGGAGGCCAAACCAGATCCAGGCTGAGTGATGTCTAGAGCAGACCCACTAAAATCCTTGGTTTCAGAGGGGCTGAGCTTAGCCCCTTTCCCTTGAATCCTGACCCAAGGTACTGGGCCACCTCCTGGGATCCAGCCTGTTGGCACATCATCTGGAGCAAGCCATCTAACACCTCGCCTCTGATAGGGCCGGCTCCCTAGAAGCATTCAAGCAGACTTGTCATGGCAGCCTGTGGCAGGCCCACCTTTTAACCTGCTTTTGCCCCCTCCTTTTTCCTCCACAGCCCGTGTTCCTGTCCTTTCGAATAGCCGCTGGGGCAGGTAAACCTATTGCCAATATGCACAAGTGTTGTGTCGTGCAGTGACGTGGTGGTAAATATCACGTTAGATTTTTCTTATCTCCTTCTTTCCTCCCCCTTCCTTCCCTTTGATGGTCTGGTTTCTCCAATACTTCCTTTCCCCTTTCTCACCCACCTTCCTTTTTGTGGGGCTTGTTTGCTTTCTTCTTTGGTTTCATTTTTTAGTCTTTTTGGTTTTGAAAACAAAACAATAGCTGCCCGTCAATTCTACAACAGGAAAAAGATGCCTGCGACATGAGAAGATATTTCGGGAAAGTTCATTATAGCGAGAAGGAGGAAGAGGAGGAGGAAGGCTTCAAAGTCCTGCCCATCGCTTAAATTGTGACAGCTCTAGCCATCCATCCAAGTCCTGCGTGCCCTGTTCTTCTTTTATTATTACTGTTCTTGTTATTTTAGGTTCTTTATGCTCCACTAGCTTATTTCAGGCGTGGACACAAGTCCCCCCCCCCCAAAATCTCTCATACCTCACTGTCTCGTATATTCCTGTGACGTCAAAAGTGGACTTTTTATTTTTATATGTCAATGCCTATGTTATGCTACAGTCTGGTTGCCAAAAACATACCAACAACAACAACAAAATCCTCACACTAGTTTGTTACAGTGTTTTGTGTTTTGGATTTCACTGTGAGGTTTGTGTTTTTAGTTGGTCAATGTGGAATGAGTGTATATATATAGATATAGATATAGATATATATAGACACACCTTCAACATTAAGACCATTTTCATCACCCTTTCCTAGCTTAAAGCCAGGTTGGGATTTTGTATATTGCCTTGTATAGAAGTCCTGCTGTGTTATTGTTGTTTGACCCTGTGATATTTGGGGGTGGGAAAGAGGATCCAAGTATGTTTTGGTTTTTTGTTTTGTTGTCCTTTTTATAGACTTGTTTTCTCATGTTATTTACTATACTGCCATGTTCCATGGTTTCTGAATCACACAACAGCAGCTGCTTTCTATACGTGTATATATTTATATATATATTGTATGTGAGTGTGTATAGAGATATATATATATACACAGATATAGAAATAATTTATAATTACAAACGATCTGTCTTTCCTGATACGAAGTAGACTTTTCCAAACAAGTCCAAACAGTACCCCCTTTGTCTGGCAGGAAATTCTGCCACTGGTGATTCAACTCGGGATTAACTTGCAGACTGAGGAAGGGAGGCAGAGTTCACGAGGGGGAGAGTGTTGGACGCTTCACACACCCTTCTGAAACACGTTTCTTCCGCGTGGAAAGCCACGGCCGTCAAGGAGACGCGGAGGTCCCACCCGATGGGTGGCGACTCGACCCAATTTTCTTGCAGCCCTACTTCCAGTTATTTTACTTCGAGCAAACCTGCCTAGGCTCAACGCTAACAGTGCGGACACGTGTTTCAGGAGGCGGGTGTGAGCCCCGCAGACTGCGGTGCCAGTTGAGAGCTGCTCGGGCCGACGGGTCTTTCCCCAGTGTACGTACCGCGAGGGCGCTCAGCAGTCCACCGCGCCAATCGCACCGCTAAGCAACAGCTCTGGTGCCAAAGCATGTGAGTGGAGAGCAGGCACAAGACCCGGGGGGTGGGGGATGGACCAGCCCCTCGTCGGGGAGCACTTGTTAACTCGGACTAGAGGAGGGTCGGGAAAGCTGAAGCTCCCCCCCCCCCCCCACCGGACTACAGCATTAAAAGGTGATTAGCGAGTCTGTTGAAGAAACACACACGGAGCACGTTATTGATTTCATTGAGAACACTACCGAGCTCGGAGCGGGCGGAGGCAGGAGTCGGAAGATGCCTTTGGAGAACAAATCAAGCTTTGTGGCGGGTGGGGTGGGAGGAGGGAGAAGAAGGGGAAACGAGAGGAGGAAAGAGGGAGAGAAACTTCCGCAGGGTGGAAAGAAAGTCTCCCGGGAATATGTCCCTGATCCTACAGGAGTAGAGCCATTGGAGGTCAAGGGCGGGTGGAAAGACACAGAGCCGCCTGGGGCTGGGAGGAGTTTGTGTGTGGCGGGTTCACTGCGAAATGAGCATTCTGGTTCTCAAGCAATAAAAAAAAAACTGATCATGGTTAAAATGGCTGTTTGGCTTTTTCTGCGCGTCCCTTGTCCTCTCTTGGGGTGAAAAATACAGATTAGTAAAAGGTTCTAGTAGCCTTCGTTTTAAACCAGCCTGCCGAGTCCGGTGCTTCCTCAATGTGCTGAACTACGAGCCCATCGTCCTCATCCACGGGTTGGGGAATGTTGCTATAGTTCAGGAACCTAACTTAACTGGGCGGCTGGTGTCAGGTCGCACTAGCCTAAGGAAACTGGCTTCCTGCGAGATTTTAAGATGTTACGTGCCTTTTATACACGATCCACAAACCGATCAGTGTTACATGGTAGTCTGGCTGGGGTGAAAAAACTGCACCTGCCTTGCTGATCCCATGGCTAAAGTTGCCGACTGCTCCCAGAGTCTTCCCGCCAGGCCAGCTCCAGCGGAGCCTTGCTTGTAGTGGAAATAATGAATGTGAGCGCCACTGCGGCGACACAATCCCCACTTTTAGCCCCTATCTCTGATCGGAAGCAATGTTCACTTTAATGGGATTTATCTCAAGCGAAAGGCATACTGTGTCCGCAGCGGGGAGAAAAGTGACGTTCTAATCGCTTTCAGCCTGCGGATTTCCTATTAGAGCAACAGAAAAACTAAAAACGGCCGCCAATCATATTATCTCCCCTTTATGGGTTAACACTGGCTACCTTAACACAACACGTTGAATAGCCCAAGTTTAGCCGAGCTTGGCATGTTGTGTGAATATATCTGTCCTGCGTCTTTACCAGATTTTGTCAAGTTGTCTGAACGCAGGCAGTGCAAAACTGCCGATGCAGAAGCAATGAATGAATTCATTATGAATTTATATCCTGCTATGGACTGTGAGAGATGGTTGAGTGCTTCCAACCACGTTGATCCGGCATAACTCCTCTCCCTGTTTTCCTCGGCTCCGCGTTGTTACTGAAGGTAGATGAAAGCAGCCTTCTGTGAAGAGCGCGAAGCGGAGGAGGCACCTGCAGGCCCCTCGCCGTGGCCTGCTGGCTTTCCTGCCCTGGAAGGAAAAGCGCCGAAGTCAAACGGCGGCGGGGATGCCAAAAACAGGTCAGGCCCCTTTAGACTGTCTGAAGAACAGGCTGTATCCCCAAAAAGCAATACCAAAGCTGAAACGCCCTTTTCCACACAACTTGAGTGATCTAAATGCCCCACTTCTTTCGTGCCTGGTCTCCTCTGCAAGGACCTGCCTAAGACCTGTTTAAATCGGGCTATATTCGTTGAATTGGTCCCCGGCCAGCTGAGTCAACAATGCGACCCTGCACGGATCTTTTGAGAAGGAAGCTGCAGTGAAGTCGATGAGACAAGTGCACAATTGCAGCCTTCATCATGCGAGGCCGAGGGGATGTTGCTGCTCCGAATCTCCACAAAACGTTCACCTTCTGACATGCATCCTGCCAAGAATTCATTCTTTCTCCCTCCCTCGTTACAATTCTCTCTGGGAGCTGAGGGCGGAGAAAATGGGGGAGGGGAGATATCTCCTATTTTGCCCTGCATCAACTGCCATGACCTCCCTGTTAATTTGGCACTTCGACCATTGCACCAGACTCGGTTGCTGTGCATGATGACACTTAGGAGTTTGATTTCGGGCGAGGAAACCATGCTAGCCTATTATAGACACACACACACACGAGTCTTTAAGCACTAACAATTCTGGTCTGCCAGAATAAACGAGTTAGTCTTTCAAGTGTCACCAGACTCTTCATCTCAGGCTCCTGCCAAGCCTTAAAGAAAACGTTTATTTGACATTGTAACGTCCCTGATGAGAGGAAAAATACTCCTGCAGGAATTACATTTACAGTAATCTGCAGTTCTTCAGGAGTAGCAATAACTTCAGATGGAGGAGGGCCCAAGTTTAGAACTCAAGAAAGCAAGGCACATTGGTTTGAAAGAACAAACATTTATATCAAGCATTTATTTGATATAACACATTACCTGAGTTCACAGGGTAACACAGAACCGTAACTAGCCAACTACCTCGCCACCCGAGTAATCGGGCTTACCTGAGTTCACAGGGTAACACAGAACCGTAACTAGCCAACTACCTCGCCACCCGAGTAATCGGGCTTACCTGAGTTCACAGGGTAACACAGAACCGTAACTAGCCAACTACCTCGCCACCCGAGTAATCGGGCAAACCGAGCCTAGGAGCTCAATTTGTGGTCCAGTGCCTTAGGAGAACTCAGAAAATTAATTCAGCATCCAGCCGACCTTCCCTTGGTTAATACTTGGATGGGACACCAGCAGCGCTGTTGGTGTTGGCTGGATGACTGTCGAAAATACATCTCGGGAAGAAAGGGAAAGCAATAACAAAATGTATCTCATATATGTGCCCATTGTATTATCTCATGCAGTTTCCAGAGAAAGTTTACATTGAAAGGACCGGTCTAAAGGATACTTCATCCAAAGGAAGTATAGAGCCTGACGCTCGCTTTAATTGCTTCATTATGAAACTACCGCCTCCGCATTCGTCCCGCTTTCGGAGATTTTTGTTCTTGGGAGAAAGGAAAAAGCATACGGGCTTGGACTGAGGGAGCTCCGGTTTCGCCGTTTCGGAAGGGCCGAACTAGCGAATCTGCTCCCCGCGTGTAGTGGAGCCTCATAACAGCCCGTTCAGCTACGAAGTATGAGCGAAGAGGCGAAGCCAGAAACGCACTTTGCCCAGCCGCCTCTAAATCCCGAGGTTAGCCGTCACGTGTGGATCGATGTCCTGGTGAGCCAAATCGTTGGGAACAAGCCCGCTTTCAGAAGCGATTTCCTTCCAAGTCGGTTTTTAGAATGGCGAAGAAACGGTCCCTCTTTCTCTCAAAGGGGAAGCGATTAATCACAACCACCGTTAGGGGGTGGGAATGGGGTCTTAAAAGCCGCTGTTTTTGATGCTCGTCAGAAACAAACGGACCTGGCTCCCGACCTTTTGGAAACGCGGGAAATGAAGGCGAATGCTACGATGTGGACAGAGAACAACGTCCAAACGAGGGCCACTTTCCAAATGCTCAAGGCTGGAACTGTCCGGGTCCCAAAACGCGCTGAGCCTGGATTGGGTTTGCGATCCACTTCTGGCTTACTCGCCCCGATTTTCTGGGCCTGCACGCCATCAGAATTCACGCAGCAGCCTAGGCTAAGATGTGTTTGGCTCGTCTGGGCCTTAAGATCATTTGTTTAATTTTAGCTTGTATCTTACAAGGGGTGTCCAGAAGTTAGGGTCAAAAAAGTCCATATGGCCGCCGCGACGTTGCGAGTGAAGGCCCGCCGTTTTTAAGTGCTTTGCTCGCACCCTCGCGACCTCCAACTTGACTTTTTTCTTTTTTTTTTACCATACCTTGCGGAACCCATCCATTGGTGTATGGGTAACCTTTGTGTGTGAGCCGGGCCACTATGGCCTATGACACAAATCGTGGCTAAAAGCAACACATCTTTGGCTTAGCAGGGTCTCTGAACCCAGACTCGGACTGCCGTACTACAGAGAAGCAAACTCCTACCTACCTACCTACCTGTTTTTTTGGACGTGAGCTTTGCAAAACTGAGAGCAATCCGTTTCTAGGGAAGGGTGAAGGGTGCTGGTGCCTCTTCTTGGGACGAGGCACACGAGCTCCGGGGAAAGCGGGTCGCGTGCCCATCGCTCTTCTCCAGAGCTAGGGCTCAGCAGCTCTGGCTCTCCCAGCCAGGATTGCTGAATCCGAAATCCCATCATCCCCGGCCAGCATAAGAGACGATGCGGAGGCAGCTTGCCCGACCTGGTGTTCTCCAGAGGGACTAGACTACCAGCTCCCATCATCGACAACATGGTGCCCGGGAAAGAAGGGAGCTGTAGTCCAGCAGCCCTGAAGAACAAGCCATTGGGCACAGCTGCTGGACGTAAGGTGGTTGCTGCGGCCCTTGAAACCCGCGAGCTCTCAGCTGATGTGAAGATGGGCCGGCGCAGCCTTCGGTGGTCCCACTGAACCCACCGGCCCTGCGTTCTCGGGAATGACTGCCGCTGGAGGTTTGCCGAAGGAGAGTAGTTGATCCTTTGCGCAACGGAGCTTGCGTTCCGGTCCCGCTCGACTTCTTCTGAGGGAGGTTGTCATTCTGCCCAAGTGCTTTGAAAGAGGTTCGTCCCAAACAAACTCGCACCCGTCACTGCTTAAATCATCCCCATCAACCCTCTAAACCCCCGAAGGATAATCACTATCCTGGGATTGGGTCGCTTTGCGGCAGCGAAGGTACGGGCGCGCGGAGTTCGGGGCCCCTCAGAGGCCACCACGTGACTTCAGCGAGAGGAGGCGGGCGGTCCCGACGCCTGCCCAGAGAGAACCCCCCGTGTAACCGCAGGTAGCAGCGGGGGGGGGGCTCATTCTCTAATAGAAAGGGTTAATAGCATCACAAGCCCCTTAAGGCTGCGCGGCCAGCCTTCCTAACCACGAGGAGAGACGCTTATTAGAACAGCTAAACGACGGCAGGAAGGATCTCCCCTTTCCTTCGCCTTCCCTCTGCACATTTTCACAGAAGGCAGCTTTCATAGACTCTTGGTCTGCCCGGTCCACTACTGCCCCGCAGTGTTGCCTCCCAGGTGCGTTGGATTTCAGTTTCGAGGTGGCCGAAGGCTGGCTGAGAATTCTGGGAGTTGAAGTCCACTCATCTTAAAGTGGCCAAGTCTGGACAACACTGCCCTACAGTGTTGCCTCCCAGGTGCGTTGGATTTCAGTTTCGAGGTGGCCGAAGGCTGGCTGAGAATTCTGGGAGTTGAAGTCCACTCATCTTAAAGTGGCCAAGTCTGGACAACACTGCCCTACAGTGTTGCCTCCCAGGTGCGTTGGATTTCAGTTTCGAGGTGGCCGAAGGCTGGCTGAGAATTCTGGGAGTTGAAGTCCACTCATCTTAAAGTGGCCAAGTCTGGACAACACTGCCCTACAGTGTTGCCTCCCAGGTGCGTTGGATTTCAGTTTCGAGGTGGCCGAAGGCTGGCTGAGAATTCTGGGAGTTGAAGTCCAACACTCCTGAAAGACTTAAAGGTTGGCGAAGGCTGGTCTACTGCGCCTACGCCGACACCCTTTACTCGTACCAGGCTACCCCTCCATCATCCTCTGCAATGTCTATAATCCAAATTAGGGGGTCCGGTCCACTGAAACTAGCCAGTTGCAGAAGCACTCGACCAGCAGAAGGGTAATCTTGTTTCGGAGCAAAAAACACCGTGTCTTCCTTGGCAGGTTTCCCTCGCCTCCAAGGTCGGGGCTCGCTCCATTTCGTTTCCTTTTTTCGCCATCAGCAGCACCGGACGAGCGAACCCCGCGCATCCACAGGCATCTTGGGAAATGCTTGTCACGACGAGGACCCTTCTCTCCCGCCCCTTACGTTGCAGCCCTCCCTCCGCTCGAGCAGCAGCTTCTTCTCATTCTTCCAGCAAAGTTTATCGGTGCGTCCCTAAAGGTGGAGAAATCCTGTCGCTCTCCCAGAAGGCCTGCAGCGCACCAGGTTGTCAGGTTCTCCGGAAGGGGCGGCGCTCATCTATCATTGGTGGCTAACAAGGGAACGGCCGGAGAGTCTGAAACGAGTTTGTTCTGTTTAAGAAACCCATGTGTGAGCGTAAAGCCCACGGAATGTAGGGAAACTAACGTTGAGAGTAACGCTGGGATCAGACCTAGTCGACTCTGGGAAAGGGAGTGGGTAATCATTGCAAAATTATGTTTTAAATTAGGAAGAGGCCGGAAGAAGATTGCCGGCCTAAGCACGTGCTTGCCCAAGCAGTTCTGCCTGTCCGGCCAGATCAGGCCTAAAGCTTGATCTAAAAACAAGTTTCCGTCGCTAAGGCCAACAGGGGTATTTCCTGAATTTGCAGGGTTCCTCCAGACTTGGAGGTTGAGCTACCAAGCCCAGCAACGTCTACAGCATAATCAGAGTTGAAGAATTGTAGCCTGGCAACTTCTGGAGGGCCCCAGGAGCCAAATCCTAGTTTTAGGATGACATAAAATTGGGCTTTCACTGCCAGACAGGGGGTGTATTGTTTTGAGGTTTTCTCAGGCATTGTTAATGATTGCGCACCCAAGGACAAATCTGTTTCCATGTTTTAGCTTCAAAATATATGAAAATATTGTACATTCAAGAGAAGGTAGCCTAGGTCAGCTTCCACTAGTGCACTATGGTGTTGGTCCATTCCCTAGACTTATGGGTAATATTAAGTCCCAGTGCTGCACATTACAAGAGCTAAGCTTTGGGTGCTCTTGAGTCCTAGTGTTAAAGAGACATTTAGATACAGTCTCTTTGCACAGATACCTTGAAAAACATCCCACCCTAAAACATCCCATAGCAATGAAGGTATATCAAATCAAGCTGTTGATCCATCTAGTGCAGAATAGGTTGTACGAATCGGAAGATGCTCTGCTTGTTTTTAGATAGGGCTGGAAATTTCCTACCTGTAGAAAGTAGGGCTTTCTACCTGTCAATGTTGTGCCACACTACTAAACTACCATCCTGGCAATTGGTCTCAGTGGGATCTAATGCCAAAGCAGTGTGCATTGGGATTGCAGGTGTGGTCTGAATTATGTCACTTGTGAGTATTGTGAGTGTGGGTAGTCTGTGGGAGAAACATAAGAAACCTCCTACATCTTTGTTAGAGATGTGAGAAATACAGGCACTGATATCCCCTGAAATGTTCAGTCTAAGAATTTATTTCATGCAAAATTAATCTTCTCATTCCCTCCAGAAGGAAAGGGAAAGGAAGGAAAGACTATAACATGCAAAGATTAGGCATTTTAGAAGATAAATGTGATCTAGTGTTGAGTGTTGGACTGTGACTGGGGAGACCCAAGTTCTAATCCATACTCAGCCATGAAGCTTATGGATCACGCCAGAGTAGTTACTGTCTTGCAATCCAACCCAACTCACAGGTTTGTTGATAAAACGAGCTCATGGAGAAAACACCATGAAGAGTCCTGGAAGAAAAGTATCATGTACATCTAATGGATACTACATAAAATCTTCCTCTGAAATGGTGGGAAAAATTTTTTTCCAGGCCTAAAAAGTTACTGGAAGTGGGGAAATTTTCATTTTGTGAAAAATACTACAGACACTTCGTGAAAGGCATCCTTGTTTTTCAAAAGAATAATGGACATGTGGTCTGTCGTCTTCCGTTTAATTCAATGCTTCTATACAATGCACACAGCATTACATCTTTGCCCCTTAATCTAGAATAATTGCCCATCCCTAGGGCCATATTCACATTTATTACTTAAAATACATAGAAAAACAAAAGAGAAAATTAACCCCAGATATCATAAGGTAATTATGAAGCTTTAAAAGAGTCTCATTAGGGATAGGAAATTTTAATGTATTTGACATCCAGCAGATGCTTAAAATGTATCTTTCTCACCAAGAAGAGAGAGAGCACTTCCAGCATGGCTTGAAATTTAGCACTATTCCTGAGGCACGTACATTTGTGGGATAATAAAGCAATTTTTTGTCTGAAAAATATAGTGTGACCTCTAGGATGATACTCCCTGTTATAGACATTCCCAAAAGACTGGCTAGGAAAACATTTTAGTCCAAATGTTTTAACCTTTTTTGTCACATGGTACAGCCTAGAATGAGGGAATATTTTGGAGACCAGGAAGCCACACTTATTAGAGGAGGAAGGCGGCAGCAGTTGGCTGGTGTTGAGTCATGCATGTACGTAAGGGACTAGAAAGGTTCTTCCTCCCTCACTGTTTGCACAGCTTTTTGCTGGTTTTTGTAACAGTTACAACTTGCATTACTGGATTCTTGTGTTCTCTTCACCCATTTTCAGCAGTTACTAAATTCTGGTGATGCAGTGCAGTCAGAGGGACTCCAGGCTCAAAAAAAAGAGAGAGAGAGAGAGAGAGAGGGAGAAAGGAAGAGAAAGAAATGAAATGAAATGAAATGAAAAAAGCTTGGCAGCAATATGTGATTCTGGAAGTTTAGAAAGTCTACCCCTGACCTAGACTAACGTAAGGATTACAATGGCTAGAATGAAAACAATTAGCAAGAGTGCCACTATAAGATGAAGAATCACACATTAGCATTCATAATAATACTATTTCATGTATTGCTTTTGTGGGTTTAGTGTTAGATCCCTGTCTGCTTTCAAAGGTGGAGCCACCATCGAAAGTGACTGTCCCAGTAGCGGCATTCCAGCTGTGGAACACTTTCCCCCATTCTTCACTGCAGCATTTTTCCTTGTTCCCTTTCCAACTTGCTTTTAATATTTTGCCTGATGAAGACATCAATATATGCTGTATAGAAAGCTTGCATATTTTATAGCATATAAGGTAGCTTAATATAGGCATTGTCCTAATGCAGATGGTGGATTTTTTTCCTTACAAAGAAGAATTCTCACAATCTAGGAGAAAGGTTCATTGTATTACTATTTATTCAGATAAAAATGATATCCTGCCTTTATCATACATATGTATAATTCAGGGTCGGATAGACATTTTTTATATAAATAAAAATGCTGTCATTTTTATACCACGTGATGAGTCTTCATTTTCCTTGACTTTTTAAAAATAACATTTTAATCTTGCACCTTACTTCACATAGATTGCGTGATATTTTTGTGTTCCTTTAATTTATTAAGTTATTTTTCAGTGGTTTCTTCCAATTGTCCAGGGAATATACTTCACTGCTGCTATAAATATACCTCAGGCAAACCATATTCCTCAGAAAATGCATCTGTTCTGTTTACTGGCATTATATATTTAATACCTTGTGAAGTAAATAATTAAAGCTACAATCCTTATACACTTACCTCACAGCCCCATTTAATCCTGCTAGTCTTACTTCTGAATAAGCATGTAAAGGTTCAGTTTAAATAGCCCTATGTGTTAGAAACACAAAGGCCAAAGGCATGCGTGCTCTTGTAAAAATAAGGGAAATAAATATCATCATCTGGTGTTGATAGCATTAATAGAAACTATGAGACTAAAAATGGAATTGCAGCAAATATTGTTAATATAAACTGCCTGTTTTCATTGGAATCTTAAACTTATCCAAAACCAGGGCCTGAACTGAGCAAAAATGCTCGTGTTTTGCCCCTCTTTTCCATTAAGAAGGGTGAAATGGGCTGTCTCAGGTAGCAGAACTTGGGGAAAAGAGTTTATTATCGATTTTACCACCCTTATTGGAATTACCACTTTGGATTTTCTGCTTCCAACATGAAACTGTCTTCGACAGCTGTGTTGACCTTGATTTGTTATATTGGTTCTGTATTGTACGTACATTTTGACTTGGGTTTTTGTTTTAATTTTCATTGATGCACCCTGCCTAAAGTCACAAATTATGGAAGGGACAGTTTAGCAGATCTTCAAACAAACAAACTTTGCTTCCACTGAAATCTGATGCGGTTTTTCTGCTGTCAGGCACTCAGCCCAGTGCTAAGTGTACTCACTTGGAAAATAGCTTCACTCATTCTGATGGGCCTTAACCTTTTTTTTTTTTTTGCAGTTTCTGGCTTTTTTTGAAGTCTACACACTTTCTACCAAACAGGTGACTATGCAGCCCTACACATATCTACTCAGAAGTTAGTCTTGCTTATTTTAAGGGGGCATATTCCCATATAAGCATGTACAGCATTCAACCCAAAGCCTCTATCATTTCTCTCACGTTATTTGTATGGCATACATAAAATCCTGTAGAAACCTGTTTGAAGCTATAGCTTTAAGGCAGCTAAAGGCCAGATAATATATTCACATTTCATTCCATTCCTATTCATGCTTTCTTGTCTACTCAAACAGTATTAATAGTTCTGCATTATGACTAAAGGGCTATATTATTTTGGAACTAGGTGCATGGGAGCACATTATTTCTCATAGCTGATGAGTCTCTTCAAGCATAATCAGATTCATATTACAGCAATATTGCTCTCCAAGATGAATGGATCACACAGCAATGTTTGTCACTTGGAACATGCTTGTTTGACTTGTTCTTCTAACTGATCCCATCAAAATATTCCAACTCCCAGTGGACATCAAGCCAGAATGAGGATGATAGCTCTCCTGAACTATACTGAGTTATTCACACTGACTGAAATCTCCCAGGAGTTCCTAGTTCAGGGATGTATGTGTCCCCTGAAAGCTTTGGGGGTAGATCCCAGCAGCCATTCAAAAGTTACAACCACAGTGAAAATAATAACGAGATAGAAGGGGAACTTATTAAACACATGAACAGCAACCATGTTAACTGTATTGATTTAAAGTAAATTTGAGTTAATACAACTTTGGTTTTTGTCTTGATTCTGCTCACTTTTCTGTCCTGGTCCACCTATTTTATGGAGAGTGGCTAGCCAAAGGCCAAATCATACCATCAGACCAAAAATTGTGTCTATCCTAATAACTGTGAGGGAATAAATGAGAGATTCAGCAGGAGAAATGTTTTCTAACAGTTGGATATTATCATAGAAACAGAATCACCTGTTGAGATGATCCTATTTAGCCACTCTGAAATTCTCCCTGAAAGAAAAAAATGTTTCATCTGACAATATTTCTGGACAATTTACAGACACACTATGGAGGAGGAGGATGATATCACATTGCTACTGGGGAGCAGTGCTTGTTGCAACTAAAGGTTTCCTTCTTCTGTATGCCTTTAATCTGAGAAATGCAAATACAGAGTTTTCAAGCACCCAAATAACATATTCTCCATAGGTAAAGCATTTTTCCAATGGAAAGCTTTTTTTAAAACTGATCAGGGGAGAATTGCCCAGAAAAGTTTCCTTTCACAGCAAACACACTCCCAGGACTGAATATGGTCGAACCATTCATATACCTGATACTCTAATAAATCAAGACTGCAGCTTTATCTGAAACTATCCACTGAAATGGAAGTTAGGGCTTTAAACTATGCAGTACTGTATTCTCTATATCAGTTGCTGAAAGAGCATTCTGCCAATTAGCAAGACCAGTTCTATGCTTTTTGTTTAAACAACATAGAAAATAACCCAGGTCAAAAATCTTTCCACCAAAACACCAAATCTTATGAAGAAGTGTTGCTTCTACATAAGAAAGAGCTGACCCACAAAACTCCAGTGAAATAAGCCCAAGACAGCCATCATTCTCTCACACTCCAAAGGCAGATATTTTCCAGAGGAAAAGCTTGTTAAATAATTTATTGATTTATACAAATTCTTTCCAACAGTAAGAGTCAGAAAGCAATTGAAAATCGAGTGATGCAGTTCTCTCTCTCTTTACATTCTCTTAAAACGGGGGAAAAAAAAAAATCAAAGAGAAGGAAGTGAAGCCATCCAAACCCAAAATTAAAAAAAAGGAAAGAAAACCTTTTTCATTTTTACACTAGAAATATACATCACAAAAATCTGTAATTTTCTATATACACAGCTGAGCTGGTATCCTCCACTCATATACAAAACAGTAACAACAGCTTGATTGTTAGGAGCAGGAAAGCCACGGGGTGGAGGGGGGGGGGGGGAATGGGAATCACAATTTCAAAGGCAGTAGCTACTCCATCCTCAGCCCACTGACATCCCAGTGGCATTTATGGATCATCCTCTTTGCAAACAAGTGTGTCTACAATTGGATGGGATGAAAGTTGTACAGAAGGCTATGGCAGACATTTAAAGCAGTTACTTGCACAGTACATCCCAGGAATTAAACAGGCTTCAACTAAGTGCAGATATGCCAAGACCAAGGATAGGTAGCCTGGGGCTCTCCTGGACTCTTGTATCATAGATGAGGCCCAACCTCATACCTACTTAGTTGGCTCTGATGAAGCCTCCAAGCAGCATGCATAACGCTGCGATCACGTTTGGCCCAAATCAATTACCTATTAGTCATCTGCAATCCTACATTCCTTTTGAACCAAGGGCAGGTCTCCCTAAGGGCCAGTGGGCTTACTCCCTAGTCGGGGTACTTAGGGCGGCACCGCTAGAGAGCCGGGTCTCAAAAGTCAGCCCCTGATGCAACAGGCTGCCCTCCTCCTAGCAGCTACGCCTGAGCTGAGCTTCGCTTCGCTTCGCCCTTCGGCCACACACGCTGCCCGAATCCCGCTTAAGGCCAGACGGGCCGGCTGCAGCCGAACCCCGTTTGCTTTTAGTGCTACTTTATTTCGAATTACCCTGGCCCGAGGCGCAGGCGGCAGCTTTGATTTCCAAAGTCAGAAGGGGGTGCGTGGGAAAGGGAGGGACGGAGGGGGGAAAGGCGGGATGGCGAAGAAACCGAGACGTACCCCACGAAGGCTGCAATTGGAAAACTTCCTTCTTTCCTTCCTGCACCGGCGGAGAGAAAGGGCCATAACTTGACCATTCATTGCCATAACTTATTCGGTAAAAATATATATACAGACATGACTTTCCCGACATGCGGGCTGTACAAGACGTCGCGGCGGCCAGTCCCGAGGCTGGCAGGCTGGCGTCGACTACCCTGCTTGGCCGGCGGAGAGGAGGGACGGGGGGGCGGGCGAGGGCTGAGCCCCAGTCACGAGGGGTCCGAGACGTTGCTGCAGGGGCTGAGGAGGGCCAGAGGCGCGGCGGCCGCGGCCGCTTTGTGCTTCTTGAGGAGCCGCGTGATCTTCTCGTCGTCCGAATTGGGGTCCAGCGGCTTGTTATACTCGTCGTCATCCTCGTTCTCTGAACTCTCCTTCAGCTTCTCGGTCTCCGAGTCGTGCTTCTTCTTGGCCGAGGCCATTTCGGCGGCGTGCCGCTTCCGCCACTTGGTCCTCCGGTTCTGGAACCAGACCTGGGCCGCCCAGAGAGGGAGAGACGAGCGGTCACACGCCTGTTGACTCCCGAGGGCGGGGACGATCCGGGGATCCCCTTCCCTTTCTCCCTCCAGGTTATCCAGACCCGCTTTCCCCGCCCCCCGTTTTCTGCGATGAGCCCTCGGGAGCCGCGAAGAATCAGTCCTCCGCATCTACCCTCCCCGGTCCTCCTTCCCTGCCCGAGATCCTTCCCTCTTTATTCCCGGCCACCTCGCGCACCAAGTCAGACAGCACTTAAGTGACCAGGATACCCATCGGGCGCGGCTGGGCAACCCTCCCCCCCCGCCCCAACCTCTGAAATGTGAAGCAGGCAAGGGCAGCTGAAAGGAGCTGCGCTAGAGGAAAGGTTGCAGCTCCATGCACGTGCGTCCCTTGGGAAGTCTAAGCCATCAGGGGTGGGTTGCAGTGAAAGTGGCTTTGGTTGAAGGGCTGGCGGGGGGAGAGACAGGGCTCCCTAAAGAAAGGACCAATACGGGGAGGGGGTGTTGATCTTTGCTAGCCATCATCTGTCCATCAGCACCTTCTGGTGTTTGCAATGGGATCCTGCGAATCGGGAATAATCCGCAGGATAACACTTGGAGGAAACTCCTCTGTGGTGACGTTTGGATTCCCCGGATTTCAACAGCAACACAGAAAGACCCGCCATTGGAATTGGTAAAAACAAAAATACACTGAATAGCTACAAACAAACGCTACATTAAAAAAGTAAATGCAATTATTTTGACTTTTAGGAAGAGGGGGTGGGGGAGAGAGAGAGCAAAAACCCAAGGCATGACTTTTACTAAACTAACAAAGTTTACAAAAACGTGTGCAAATGTTTTAGATTAAAAGAATCACCCAGCCAAGAATCTGTGGAGAAAGAGAGGGAGGGTGTGGGGCTGACCCTCAAAGCACAATTGCACATACCTCATTCCTCTGGATTTTTTGCCATTTTGTGAGTTGCGGTTTGTTTGTTTTTAAAGATTGCATGCTATTTTAGAAACTTTAAATTTGAGCTAACAAATGATTGTCTTAAGTTGTTTTTTGGATTTTCAGTCTGTGCAACGTCACTCCCAAAAGACTGTAGATAGGGGCACAATTAGAACACCTGAATTGGAGTGAGATTTAGATATATAAAGCAATGTGTTCCTGTGCATGGAGGTCAACAGTGCTTGTTTGGAATAAATCTGAGCAGTACATTTTATTCCTAAATGGTTTTCAGGTCCTTAATATCAACACAAGGCAGAGAATGCCATTTAGTGACTGCTAATGCTAAAGATGCAAGTCATGCACACTTACACATGCTATTCAAATCCCCTACCAGTATGACCAGCTGCTCTCCAGAGCTGCAAAAATAGACAATGCCTTGCAAATATATAAAGACCATGAGGCATTGTCCTGGAGATCCATCTGTAATACGTTCCCTATATGCCACTCGCAATGCCCTATCACTAAAGATTCTGCTAAATAGTGCAGCAATCTGGATTTGAAGATCAAAATGGATTCAGAGCAGGTGTGAGTATGCACAAAACACTTGTCAAGAACACTTTAGCAGAGTTATGTCTTTTTCTGAGTTCACACACAATTCCAGGAAAAGAAGCATTTGGTTTAAGGTGGTGCTATTAGGTGGAAGCTCATGTACACTCCAAAATCACATTTTTCACTTGGAATCTGGAACTCGGTATAATTATTGTTTGACCCATCACTTTGCAATCCTTCTGCAAAGGCAAAGACACCCGTGGAACAATTATTATTCCAAGTTTGTCTATGTGCAGATGCACAGGTACAGGCCTCTAAACCATGTCACACCATTCACACATTCAGCCGTCAATTCCAAGTTAGTAATTTGTAGGAAGGAAATTTCCAGTGACCCCTGCTTTCAAGCAAGGGGGATTTCAATTGTGCTGTGAGCAGATTTACTCCAAAATAAACTTTCCTTGGATTTAAGGAGCACTCCCAGCAAGCCGCTTTGAAGTACAGATGAACCACTTTCATAAGAAACAAAAACTAGCTGAACTCAATAGAGCTTATTTTCTAAGAAACCGCTTTGGAATTAATTGCCAACATTGCGGTCTTGCTTTTTTAAAAAACAACTTTTTCTTTGGATATCTTGGTACTAAATCACTGGATTAGAGCTAATACTATCTAGTATACTACTATACTATACAACTGAAAACTTAACTTTATTTAAACCTTTATCGTATATTTAACTATACGATTGAAAACTTTATTTAAACTTCCTTTCTTTCTCTTTCTCTCTCTCTCTTATAAAATCAAATAAGAGAAAACTTTCACAGAATATGGATTAAATCTCAGTTCAGTGAAGTCCACCCAGAATAAATGTGCAGCAGGCTGTTATGCACACATTAAGTAAATCCCTTGGCCTCTTAAAGGCATAGGACACACTAGTTTGCATTAATATCCTTCTTTGGCCTTCTGTAACACTAGAGTGTAAGGCAACATTTAAGACTGTTATTTCTCTTGTTTTTAAGACAATTAACTGACAGAGAGACCGTTGGTACAGAGCAGTGAGAGAGGATCCAGCCTTCTGAAAAGTCTGATTGAAATGAACAGGCCCTAACTTTGTCTAAAAAGGGGCTTTCTAAAATCAGGGAGACACCATCTTTGAATTTGTAAAGCATCTGGCTCCAATTCATATTTTAGTTTCGGCATAATATATAACTATGTTATTTTTAATTCAACAGGTCCTTATTGTAAAACTCATTAAGTAAAATACTTCTGAATTCCTTGCTACTTCATGAGAAAACGCTCAAATTCTCTGCAGGCCAATTTTTGAACAGCCTGAGAAAAGCCCTGAGAGGATTTCTAATGCAAAGGATGTCTCAGCTTGGCTCCAGGCAAACATTATTCAATTAATTATCTAGTTTTTATTTCCAAAAAGATCCTTTCTCATTTTTAAATAATTTGCATCTTACCAGGAAAGGGATGGAATGTAAATAATGTTTTTTCCAGACTTTAAACATTTCAGATTAGCTCACTGCTAGAGCTTGAAGTGAGTGAAAAGGGGGGGGGGGAGGCAGCAGAGTAAGTTTGGAGCTAAAAAGAAGAAAGGTTGAAAATACAGTCTTTGCCACTTAACCTCTTCGCAACATTTTATTTCTTATTTAGTAACAGCAATGGACATTTTTTTTAAAAAAATTTAGTTGATAAATTGTGCTATGCAGAATATGATATATGATAAATATCGAAGTTTCCCAGAGTTCAAGGATTGGTGGGTTTGTTGTTTTTTTACATTCAGGAATGAACTGTGCATTAATTTGACCTGTGTGATTGAGGCTAAACTAATTTCTTGACAGTAAGCCTAATTTTGTTCTAAGAAACCTGTGTAAATGTTCATTCACATTTATTTAAGTACAAGAGTGAGTTATATGTGGCAAGGGTCTGGCCACAGAAATTGGCACAACTTGGGATAAGGTAGGCTCTGAATCCTAGCCTGTGCTACTTATTCTGGGAATAAATTCTCTGGAACTGGGCAAGACTCACTTCTGAGAGTCTGATGGCTTCCTTCGAAACCATTTCCTCCCGTTCAGTGGGACTGGGACTGGGACTGGCACCGGCCCCCCTCC